CGTGGGGCTGGAACTAGCGGCGGGCAAAACAGAGGCAGTGCTAATCAGCAGCCGCAAGGCGGTAGAGCAAGCGCACATCTCAATTGACGGTACTCTCGTGCGGTCCAAACGATCAATTAACTACCTTGGGGTTAGATTGGATACGAGATTGTGCTTTCGTGAGCACCTGGAGCAGACGAACAAAAAAGCTGCAGAGGCCACACGGGCGCTAGCCCGAATTATGGCCAACACTCGGGGCCCAAAGCAAGGTCGGAGGTTATTGCTTATGAGCGTAACCAGATCAATAATGCTGTATGCGGCACCGATATGGGCTGCCGCGGTGAACAAGAGGAGCTACATCCGCGACCTCGCTGCTACATACCGTCTTGGCGCTCTCCGTGTCTGTAGTGGATTCAGGACGGTTTCTGACGATGCCGTACTGGTGATCTCGGGGATGGCACCTATCGACCTCCTCGTCCTGGAAGCGAGCTACCTTCACAGTTTTGCAGCCGGGCGGCCTCGCAGAGACGCGCGGGCGGCGGCTAGACGTACGACGGTAAGCAAGTGGCAAGAGCGATGGAATGCCTCGTCAAAAGGCTGGTGGACCCACACGCTAATCACTAACGTAGCATCGTGGATCGACAGAACACATGGCAAGGTCGACTTCCATCTGACCCAACTTCTGAGCGGCCACGGATGTTTCAGAAGTTATCAACAACACATATTTGGGCACGACTCCAGTGCGGAATGCCCGGCCTGCAGAGGGATACCGGAAGATGCTAACTACGTAGCTTTCCATTGCCCAAGGTTTGAGGCGGACAGAAAGAGACTGGAGGCGACAACCGGATCACCTCCAACGGCGTCGAACTTTGTGGCCAACATGCTCGCTAACGAAGATTTGTGGGCTGCGAGCGCAAACTTTGCGGCCTCCGTTATGGGCAAGCTCAGGAAACAGGAGCGGGACAGAAGCGCGATATAAGCGGGTTGATCGGCCGGGCGAAGCAATGCCTAACGGCCGTACCTCCTGGACTTTGACCTGAGTATATCATTATTATTATTACTTTTACTATTATTATTATTATTATTATTGTTATTTCTCTATCCATATTGTTATTTTGTACTTTCCACTCTTTGTCAGTTTATATAAAGAATACAAAAAAAAAAAAAAACACACAGAACAAGCAACAGTTCGTGTCTATGTGTGCAATTCTCTACGTACGGTTGAAAAAGTAAAGAGAAGCATGCATGCACATGTGCAGACTTATGTATGTATGTATGCCTGTGTACGTACATATATAGCATGTATGTACATTCGTATGCATGTATGTATACATTGGACAATCGAGCACTGTTGTTTGATTGTAATAAATAATGTTCTATGGTTTTAAATCAAATTTTTAAAAAGAAAAACAACAACAACTGCAAGTCATTTGCTCGCGCTACATCAGCTTACAAATTACAGTACCTTCGCTAGGAAATGACTGCGTAAGCGATAGTAAAGCAGGAACCGAAAGCGGACCTACACATATTCTTCTTCGCGTTGCGGGCAGATGTACATACATATGTTGTATATGATTTGTTCTAATTGATCTCAATAAATTATAAGATGTTATTATTTAAATTTTCTGTTAATTGCATTCAAACTTCAATGGAATTATTGATTGTATCGATGGATTCATCTATCGATAGTTTTAGTGTTAGCTAACAGCGCTACAAATGTATTCTGAACAAATCTAAGAGTCATTTACCGTTAAGCCTATTTTGTGAGTGTATTCATGCGATTTACAAAAGCAGAAACACACCTTTTACATTCACAACAATCATATTTGGAATTGAAGACACAAATTAGTGTTGAATTAAACAATTTAATACATACTTATATATGTATGTATAGAGGCGGATAACGCCTGCATGAAAAATTTAAATGTATGTACATATCAGCATTGCCGAACGCTCCAATTTTGGCGGGACGTCCCGATTTATAAATCAAAATTAAATGTCCCGCGTCGGGGTTTTCTGGGATAACTCGATCGTGCGTACAACGTGCTGAGGAAGCACACAGTTAAGTCAGGACTGGCAACCGCCCGGTGCGTAACGAAGATACATATGTACATATGTATGTATGTATGTATAACCATACATAGCACTTATTGTACTATATTTGCTATTTGGTAAATGAACTCTTTAAAAAACTTTAGAGAGCGTCGAAAGAAGAATATCATATAGTAAATAAACTAATAATTATAAGCACATTTTACTTAGCCCAGCAAAGACGGGCAAGACCTACTAGTTTTTTATAAAATAACATAACTTAAAGTTTTAATTGTTAACAAATCATTAGTATTTAAATCAAATTAATGTTGTATAGTTGATACTTGGACATTGTGCAATAAATTATAAATCACTAAAATTAAGAATAATTATACATACTAAAAAATACTACGTTAAATTAAAATAATGCATAAGCAAACAATATGCTAACGGCTGTAAAAAGGACAAGGTGGAAACTCAAAATTATAAAGAAGGGGCGTTGAGTTTGGAAAGCAGAAGCGTATGCATGTAAGTAAGGAGAGCTGCCTACAAAAAAACGGAAATTAATGTGTGAAAAAAAAGTATAAGATAAGAAAAATCATAAAAAAACCATAAGGGCAAAGCTTTTTATTCACCCTTACAATCATCAGAAGTGCTGCAGAATCAAATAAACAATCGCCTACTCAACGCCAAAACGCATTTATAAAAAGAATAGAAAGAAAATGATGAGTGGCAAGGATTTTGACAAATACACCGCCGACGCACAGTGGGGCCTTAGGCCGAAACAGCTTGCGAAAATCAAAATTTTCATGAACGCTTTGGGAGTAATGAATAAACGTGTCTAATAGTTTTTTTTCCAAAGATTACGAAAATCTTACTCTCAAAAAAATCGGAATTATAGTTTAGGACATATGTGCACTCAAAGTCGACCCTTTTTTAAGCTCGCAACAATTAATTCAATTTGATGCAAATACTTCATCTTTCAGGTATAATATTAGCTAAGTTATGAAACGAATCATTGATGTTTTGATTTGTATTGCTAGATGAATTAATTTTATGCATTATTTAATAAAAACTATGTCTTTCGTATTTGTAGTTATCTAGAAAACGTTATTTTTTAAACTACCTATTTTTAGGGTGTTTTTCAACTTTGATGGAAAATAAAAAAAAAGTACCCAAAAGTACCTCGCCCATATTTTCAAAATATGTTCCTTAAATATTCTTTTACCTAACGCAATAAAACTTTCATCCGCCCGGATCCGCCGGTGTGCACCAGAGCAAAAAGAGTGCCGCAACTTCGGAAAAAAATCAGCGAAAAAGGCGCTGCCGCGGGTATAAGAAGAAGAATGCATTGCAGGTAGATTCGCTGTAACGGCTATTAGGAACATTGTATTTAGCATTATGGATACAAAAATATACCTAAGCGGTCCTATTTGATCCACATTTAATATTGTGCAACCAAAATTATGCATAATATTTATTACAGGTAGTGTAATTTACAATATTAGGTGAAGGTCTTGCAATCTTTTTGACCCTTTCATGAATTGTAATTTCTTTGCTTTAAAGCATTTGAACAGGCAAAAAGAGGTTTTAGTTTAATATCTTAGGTATGCGTTTAGAAATGGTATATATTGCCAATATTTTTGGTGCAGCGTAATAGTCGAATTTTGACTTAAAAAGCAATCAGTTGTGTCTAACTAGCAGTGAATAGTATTTTTCAATATAATTTACGTTTAAATACCTTAAAAGTGATTTTTCTTTAACATGGCTGTGCAAAATGCAACATTATTTGATCTATTTAGGAATTCCAATGATGATAAGGAATTTGAAGAAGCTGTTCTGAAAGAGCTGTATGATGCTCTGGAAAGTGCAGATCAGCAAAAAATGTTGAGAAACAAGCTTAAATTAATTTATTATAAAATCAAACAGAAATGGATAAGCGTAGGATATAGCAAGCAGAAATTTGATTTAAAATATGAAATCTGGCTATCAACGACTACGTACTTGGATACATCAATGGACGATGTACCCTCTACATCAACTGGACGAGCCAGAGGAAGACCAACGAAAAATATTGCGACATTCCCTAATTCGGCATAATGTTGATGTTCTTCCTGGGTACAAACAAATAGGATCGGCTAAGAAAGAGGCAGTACCTCAGCCCACAATAGTGACGGAACAGTCAGTGCAAGTAACACTTCAGGACCTTATGGATCACACAGCTAACTCCCACGGTACATAAAATTTTGGCCCATGGTCAAATTTTAATAGAATATCAGTGTCTACCAATTGGAGAAATGTCAGAGGAAGCCCAGAATTCAGATATTTGAACACATGCAAGACGTCACGAATAAGGCAAAACGAGGATCTCTTCAATATGTTGTCAGCCTCTTCAGATCCACTGGTTTCATCCCTTAGACATGTGAGGTCTCAAAAAGAATTAGTTAGTAATTATTCTTCGGACATGGTGAAATTATTAGATATTCCTTCGAATGTAGACGACTATTTTAAAGAAAACATATTAATGTAAATAATTGCAGCTGTCAGTACTTTATAATAAAAATTAATGTAATCATAAAATATTAACAAAATATTTTATTTTAATTTTTTTTTATGTAAAAAAAATTTTCAATATTTTTAAATTAAAAAAAAAAATTTTAATATTTAAACAATTTTTTTTCCAATTTTTAATTTGTTAAAAACTAAAAATATAACATAACTGAAAATAATTGTATCATTAAATGTTTTTTATTAGTTTGATTAGGCAAATATTGCACTGGCAACTAAATCCAACTTTGAGCACACATTGCGCAGCTCCTAGAAATCACAGCACAATGCGCTATGACTTGTTTCAAAGCTTAAGAATTTTTCTTTCAATTTGAAATGACGAAAATTTGAATGACGAAAATTGCTTTAGCCGTTCAGAAGATATGATTTTTGCAACGAAAAAAGTCCGAAGGCCGCACTGTGCGACGGCCTAAGACGGTTGTTAAAAACATATGCATCATTTATGCATCCAACGAATGGAAATAAATCTGAATTAATTCAGAGACTGATCGATGCCCAAAAGGATGACGAAATATTGCGAAATAAGAACAGTACTGGAGTCAACGGCAGCAAGCCAAACGTGAAGGAAGAAGTAAAAAAGCAAGAATACGAAAGCGACAACAATGTAGTACAGCAAGCCGACGAAAGTACCGACTACGACACAAAGCACGATAATGAAACAAACAATGACAACATGTTTACATAACAAATTCTGAGTAATTACCATAGCCAACCTTTAAGCAAATACAATGATATGAGTGGCATCGTCATAGCAAACGAAAAAGACACAAACGAAAATGATCAAAGCAACGATAGTAAGACCAGGGATGACAAAGAAAATAAGTTGTCCAACACAGAAACACCGAAACGAGATAATACGGAAACTACAACAAGCAACAACAAAAATAACATTGTAAAAGCGAAATCTGAAAAAGAGGATTTAATGCTAAGGGAGATAGAGGTATTGAAACGAGAACTACAAGCCACAATGCGCGAAAACGAAATATTACAATTATTAATCAACAACAGTGCAGTTTCAGCATCCTGCAAAAGCATTCCGTTTACACAACTCAAGGAATTAGTATCTGAATTTGATCCAATGGAAGGTGACACAGACATTCAATTGTTCAAGCAGCAGATTTTTTCGGTACGATCTATGTATAATTTGGACGAAAACAACGTACGTGCACTCATCGCCAACCGTCTTAAAGGCAAAGCCGTAAAATGGTTACAAAGCCGAAACGATTTGATGACAATCCCAATCAACGAATTGCTCAATGAGATGGAAACTATTTTTCAAAACAGGGAAAGTCTCCTACCACTTAAACGTAAGTTTTAAAAGAAGACCTGGCAACTTAATGAGTCTTTCCAAGAATATTTTTACGAAAAATTAATATCAACTACATTAAACGTCGACAAAATTGAGTTACTCGAGCATATAAATGATGGCATTCAAAACTATAATCTACGTACTCAAGCCCGTATGCAACGTTTTAAAAATACAACGGAACTACCTGATACTTTCAAAAGCATACAATTGAAACCAGATTACACTCACAAGAAAAATCATAACAAGCAGAATATCGAGCCTTCAGCCAACGCAAATAGTCGTCAAATGGTCGTCAAATGCTTCAACTGTAACTCCAAAGGACATATGGCCCCTGAATGTCGCAAGCCCAAAAGAACACCTGGAGCGTGTTTCGTTTGTAACGAAATGGGCCACATTTCAATAAACTGTAGCAAACGCAACGACTTGGAACTACGAGAAAACCAACCAGTATGTAAGACTTATAGATTACTTATTTAATAACAATACTAATGTCATCATTAAACACCCTTTAGAAACACTAATTGACCCTGGAAGCTCTGTCAGTTTAATATGTGAGGAGAATGTACCCAAGAAACTTATTGAAGACTATTCTTTTGTTCAAAATTATTACGGAATAAATAAAAGTAAACTTATAATCATTGGAGTAATAAAATGTAAAATCAAAGAAGACCAAATATTTAAAAGGGTAAGCATAGGAAATCAAACTAAATATGATCAAAATGATAATTCAACAGAAGTAGCCGAAACGATAGAGCACAAAATAAATCAAAACAAAGCGAATAAATATATCGGTTTTTATGATAAACAAACAGAAAGGGCTATAGAAAAATGTGAAACAGAAGAAATGCGATCTGCTCAAGAAAAGCTCACAGCAATAGAAGAATGTAACAATTTAATGGCTATTGATATAAATAGCGATGAAAATTACCCAATGATTAACAAGACTAACATACATATAAACGACAAGACAAAATTACAAGAAGTATTTGTTCAACATTATTTAAAAAGTATCCGTCCTGAAAAGCCAGCTACCAAATGTCAGTTAAAATTAAATCTAAACAATGTAAGGCCTTTTCACTTCAAACCTAGACGCTTATCATACAAAAGAAAAGAACAAGTGCAACAAATTATAGACGAGCTATAAGAAAAGAAAATTATAAGGCCAAGTCATTCTGAATATGCGTCACCGGTTGTACTAGTAAAAAAAAAGAGTGGAGACATTCGGTTATGTGTAGATTATAGGACGCTTAACAAAGTTACGCCCAAAGATAATTACCCACTGCCACTAATCGAGGATCTTATTGATAAACTAGCAAACAGGTAAATTTTTACATTGTTAGACTTAAAGAGCGCATTTCACCAGATAGATGTTCATGAAGATTCAGTTAATTACACATCCTTCGTGACTCCGTTAGCCCAGTTTGAATACTCCAAAATGCCCTATGGCCAGCGATTTGTCAACTATGTATTCGATGATATGATTAGACTAGGAAAGGTTGTCATATACTTAGATGATATCATGATTGCGTCGAAATCAGTTGAAGAACATTTTAGTACGCTAACGGAAGTATTTAAAAAATTAACATTAAATAAATTAGAGTTGACTAGACAAATGTAAATTTATGGAAGATAAATGCGAATATTTAGGCTATATTATCTCGAAAGAAGGAATGCAGCCAGAAAAGAAAAATATTGAAGCCATAACTAATTTTCCAATTCCTAAAAACTCCAAAGAAATCCATAGCTTCCTAGGGCTCTGTTCCTATTTTAGAAAATTTATCAAAGAATTCTCTATACAGGCCAAACCACTGTATAACCTTATTAAAAAGAATTCCAAATTTCAGTTCAATGAAGAAGAAATACAATGTTTTGAAAAACTTAAGCAAAAATTAATCGACGCACCAATACTCTCTATATATGATCCTTCACACGAAACTGAGCTACATTGCGACGCCAGCTCAATCGGATTGGGGGCAATATTATTGCAAAAAAAACTTGATGGCAAAATGCATCCAATATTTTATTTTTCGAAGAGAACTACTAAGTGTGAAGCAAAATATCTGTTTTGAATTAGAAACGCTGACCATAATTTACGCGTTACGAAGATTTAAGATTTATCTGCATGGAACAAAATTCAAAATAATAACAGATTGTAACTCATTATCGTTAACCTTAAGCAAAAAGGAAATTAATCAAAAAATTGCTCGTTGGGCCTTGGAGCTCGAAAACTATGACTACGAAATTGTCCATAGAGATGGACAGAAAATGAAGCACGTTGATGCGCGAAGTAGAATATCCAATATGCTTGTATTGGAAGAGAATACGTTTGAACAAAATCTTTCCATTTGTCAAAACGAGGACACGGTTATATGCAACATACGCAAACAATTAGAAGAAAAAGAAAGCAATCTGTATGAAATGAGAAACGGACTAATTTTCCGCAAATTCAAAGGCAGAATACTATTTTATGTACCTAATAATATGGAACGAAGCATTTTAACACTTTATCATGACCAAATGGGACACAGAGCGTGTGAAAAAGTATACAATGCAATAACAAAGTCGTACTGGTTTCCCAGGTTAACTGAAAAAATCAAAGAACACATACGAAATTGTCTAAAATGCATAACATATTCACCGAAACTTGGTAAACATGAAGGTTTACTATGCAGCATTCCTAAAGGTAATACACCATTTGAAATGCTGCATATTGATCATTTTGGGCCCATAAAATCACAAAAAGGACAAAAGAGACATGTACTACTAGCAGTGGATGCCTTTTCGAAGTTTGTTAAACTGTATAAAACAAAATATACGGACTCTAAAAGTACAATTAAACATTTATCCGATTATTTCAAAGCATATAGCAGACCCAAGACTATAGTTTCTGACCGTGGAAGTGCATTCACTTCAAAGGATTTCGAAGAACTTTTATTGACTAACAACGTAAAACACATAAAAGTAGCAACAGGTTCTCCACATGCGAATGGACAAGTGGAACGTATAAAAAGATGTTTAGGACCAATGTTGGCTAAATTAACAAGTGCAGGAACCACAAAATCATTCGAAAAGGAGATTACGCAGCATTCAAAAAAATAATATTAAAATATAAAGGACTGTACAAAGTTAATGAGATACTACCAAATAACAGATACGTTGTATCAGATGTCGAAGGATTTCAATTAGCACAGGTGCCTTACAAAGGAATCTGGGAAGCAGCCAATATGAAACCATAGATGAATATGGAAAATCATACGTCAGAAAAAGTAAGTAAAAAGTCAGATTCAGAGGAAGAAATTGAAAGTTTATGTCAGAAGAAGTAAGTGAAAGGTCCGATGCAGAGGAAGAAATTAAAAGTTATATGTCAGAAAAAGTAAGTGAAAGGTCAGATGCAGAGGAAGAAATTGAAAGTTATATGTCAGAAAAAGTAAGTGAAAAGCCAGATTCAGAGGAAGAAACAGAATATTCTATGTCAGATAAAGCGAGTGAAAGATGTTGCATCGGCTAATTATCGGCCGCAATTTCTGGCCACGCCGGCATACATGGGTCGCCTCAACAGGTTACCAGCGCCACCTTGCGGTACCGGCAAGTGACAGTGTCAGCTGTTGCGGACGCAGGGCATGGTTGTTTGGCGTAGAAGTATGAGAAGGCTGCAAAAAATGGAAAGAAACGGACGTAAAAAGGATTGGGAATTATCACGCGGTACAGGGAATGGAGCCGACGCGGGAATCGACATTTTGCTGAGGATATTGGAAGAGTGCGGTTGTGCAGTGGGATTCTGCTGTCGTTTTTTTGGTTCTGTTTAACCTGCAAATTGGTAAGAGAGCAAGGCGTGTAGTTGTGGAAAGAATGAACATTTACTGATGCATTATATACGTCTACAGAGGTTGTAGACCCAGCAGTAGACGAATGGCCGCTGGGTCTCTTGATTAACTCTGGCCGTATAAACTGTCCACGGATTTAGTGGCCCCAATCACATGCCACATCGTCTCGCCGACCACTATTTCAACGCACGTTGAGGCTGCATTGACCGTCCGCATCATCGCATCGTCTCCAGCAGTATCCCGTCGATCATCATCGTCAGCGGTAGCCCGTAAGCGGCCTATACAGCGCAACCCCACCGACCGGCAGATTTGACAGCACCGTCGGCGTTGGAGGCGTTATGAAGAGGAATAACGACTGAGTGAGTCCTTTCCAAAACGAGTCCCGTTGTGCAAGCGGCGCCCACGCTGCGCCGCCTCAGCAGCTGAGTTCTTGCCCCATCGTGACCCACTTTCAGAGGAGGCTGAAGCAGAGTAGAGGTGTTAGGCTGGCCGTCATCAATTGTAGTGCCGATGAGAAAGTGTTGTTCCTTTAAGACTGAAATTTTAAATAAAATAATCGTTTGCGTATACATAGGGCGTATGAATCTTTATATGTATGTATGTACACTTACGCGTATTCAGTGTGAATAGTGGAATTTTATACAAATCACTCGCATGTACATGGAAGCATAGATATCAGTGTGGACTCTTGTGGCTAATGGAAAAAGAAGGAAAACGAGTAAAATAGTGAATGGCAGGCCATAAATAGGTAATCAATAGGAGTGCCCCTGACCCGTAAGAGCTCTTAGGGGGAGGTAAATTGCGCCCATAGCTTAACTGTCGTGTAGGCCTACGATTTGTCTCGAGCTTTCGTTCCACTTCTGTTGGCTTATATGAGTTTCGGTCCTTGTGTGCATGCCCATGTTGAATCTATACATACTTAAATATCACATGTAGCACAACATTCATATACATGGCACAACATTTATACGCACATTTCGCAACGTTTATATATATATATATACATAAATAACACAACATTTACATACATGTCATAACATTTATGTATATATGTATATCGTGCAACATTTATATATACATTCATAGCACAACATTCATATACATATCACAACATTTATACGCACATTTCGCAACGTTTATATATATACATAAATAACACAACATTTACATACATGTCATAACATTTATATACGTCGTGCAACATTTATATATACATTCATAGCACAACATTCATATGCACATCACAACATTTATACGCACATTTCGCAACGTTTATATATATACATAAATAACACAACATTTACATACATGTCATAACATTTATACACATATCACAACACTTATATACATATATATATATATATATATATATATATATATATATATATATATATATATATATATATATATATATATATATATATATATATATATATATATATATATATATGCATAGTTTGTAAGGGTATTTTGTAAATTTGGCTTTGCTGCTCTGCATATTATAACGTTTTGAAAAAAACAAGAGATAATGACGCGTTTTTGCTAAACACGTAAAGTAAGGGGGGGGGATGAACTCACCGACCGGGCCAAAATAAGGAGTACGTAGCTCCATTGTGGGTAGCCACAAACTGTGCTGGCTACAGGATGGGCGGGAGCGCTTGGTCAGAAACATCGACGTCCACAGAAACTGCCGGAGGAGTTTTTTTTGTCGCATCGTAGTTTTTTTGTTGCACTTGTTGTTTCGTTCTTTTGCAGTTTGTTTGTTTACGTTTATGGTGATGAACTAGTGCTGTGCGAAACATCGATGTAAAATCGATACATCGATGTTTTGCAATTTTTTCCAAACATCGATGTTTTATTTCCGATTTTCAATGTTTTTTACTACTTGAAAAAAAAATCGCCGAAAAAGCTAGGTATGTATGTAAAAGCTAAAATTTGTTACGACTACGCTTTTCCTCTTGGGCAACGCCGGCTGGCTCATCGGAATTCTCCTTGGGTGTGTGGTTCCAACCCTATGCCCGCGTGAGTCGTACAATAACCGATAACACGGTTCCTCCATCGATAAACAAAATGCCATCACTACAATAAATTCGACGCGCAATATACAAAACCGAATTCAAAACGTAAACAAACCAAAAAAACTAACATAAACTAAAAGAAACGTAATGCGACAAAAAAACAAATAAACGGCTAACTCCCTCAAGCTACCCGTACGAATACGGATACGAATACAAGGAGATTATATACGTGCGGACGGATAGAAATTGTGGTATCGGACAACTGTGTGGGATTTTGCTGTTGTTATCCCAGGCGTACCCACCCTGCCTGTATCCAAAGGCAAAATGTTTCTTGGATACCCTTTATTTGGGCCGTGCTTGGGATATTCCATGGCAAAGGTGAGTCTCCCGCCCCTACTGATGCTGCTTTAATGCATCATCACCAACGGTGCGACCATTAAAATTAACAATTAATTTTCAGTTTATGTGGCCACAAACATACATATATTTCAGTGTGATTGAGTGTGAGTGCAAACAATGTAAACATGGAACAAGAATTTTTATATAAAAACGAAATAAAGAAGGCTTGCCAACGGCCAATGCGGTTCTTTATACATATGTGCCAACATGCAAGTATGTTTATGGCAAATAAATATGTATGTAGATATATGTGTGTGTATGATAAAAAATATGCGCGGTACAAAAAATTATAGACAAATGTCTAACCAAATCCTAACGAGAGCTCTCGACGGTCATGGGCGCAATAGAAATATAAGACTAATATAAAACACTGCGCGCTACTGCAATTGGCAATCTTCGTACAATATAAGTGTATAAGAGTGTGAATTTTTTATTAATTAAATAGAGCGCCAAGCTCTGTCTAGGTGCCACTTTCTGCCTCGTTTTGGTTTTAATGATCTATGTATATATATTTTGTTTTATCTTCTTTTTTTTTTTCTTTTGCAGAAACTTCAATGGGCGGCGTGTGGGACCCTGCAGGCGCAGCCCATACAAACGACACGACATAAGGCGCGCGGGATCTCTGCCTGATGTCGCTGCTCAACCGCGAACAATAGGCACGGCGCGTGGCCAAGGAACGGACTCACCGGCTTTTCTATCCTCCGCTGCTGATGGCGCAGACGGGCGTGTCTGCTGTTGCGTTGTGGTGGCGCCGCTATTGCTGCTGCTACTTCTTGGGTGGGCGCCTTTGCTCCGGCTGCCACTGTCGTTGCTGCTGCTGCCGTTGAAAACGCTGGTGCTGGATCTGCTGCTGTCGTTGAAGACGCTGGTGCTGGATCTGCTGCTGTCGCTGTTGCTCCTGCTACGATGCAGCTCGTGCTGCTACTTATGACAGCCGCTGCAGCTGCTGTGTCCGGTTATCCGCTGTCCAAAAACTTGGCGATATGCCGGAAAATCTTCGAACGGCTTCTGGTCCTTCCTTTCCTTTTGCAGGTTTCAGCACGGCCTCCAGTTTACCCAAAAGAAAACACTGCCTCGTGGGTCTGCACCGTCGCCCCTAAAACAGGAATGGCGTGTTGCGGCTTGCCTTTTATAGGCCGGATGTCGTATGCCTGCGGATTTTTACGTCCTTGCGCATCCGTTCATCACGGCCTTGACGTTTCCCCACTTTGAGGTGCCATCGGGACACAACCCTGCGCCTGCGCGGCTGCAGTTGCCACCATGGTGCATCGCTCGGTACCGCTAGATGGCGCTGCAGTACCTTTATAAATTCTTGGCGCCTTCCGTAGCGCTGCCACCTTTTATTCTTCGTGACCAGCCCGATGCAACACCACCGCAAATATCCAAGTGGGCGGACGCTCGTGCCCCGAAGTGATGTTTGCGCGCATCAAACGGCTGGTGTTGTTGGTGTCCTCTGCTTCGAGTCCGGCGTTGCCTCGGATGACTACTACCGCGGCGCCCAACGTAGGCCACACCCACTCTTGGTCTTCAGGTGAGTAGCTCTGGCTGCATCCTCCTCCCTATATTCATCCATTCTGCCTTAGGACAGGCGTCACACTCGGATATCCTTTGCGTGGAATACCCCCAGCAAGTTCCCTTGCAAATCTTCCAGCTCGTATGCGTTGGTGCCGATGGATTTCCTTACGCGAGCTTTTAGAAATTTCCGCGCGAATTTCGCATTGATCGCGCGACTGAAATCACTCAATGCAAAGTTTCGCCGGTATACCTCCTGACCGGGCGCTAGTCTTAGCCGCCGCGCACGCCGGTTATAGCAAACGCTACTGCGCTCATACGCCGCATGCAATTGTGCCTGGATTTTCTGTTGCAACAGGGATTGCCTGTCTGCTGTACTCAACGCTGCGAATTCGTGCTCGTCTAAGGACCTTAATTTCCTCGCCAATCGGTACTGCGAACCGTGCAACATAATATGTCGGCCGAATAGTGCGAAAAAAGGCGTTACTCCAGTCGCAGAATGCACGCTGTTTCTGATGGCCACTTCAATTTCCGGAAGGTGTAGGTCCCACTCGCGGTGATCCTGCCCCAGATACGCCCGTATCGCGGACAGTATAGTCCGGTTCACCCTTTCGGACGCGTTGCTTTGCGGCGAATACACCGGTGTCCGCAGATGCTTAACACCGTAGCCCTCCATCATGTCTGTAAACTGCTTGGACGTGAATTGCTTACCATTATCGGAGTGTATGACTTCTGGAACGCCGAACGTATGGAACACTTCGTTCACCAAGAAGTCGACGACGCTCCGAGTGGTGGCCTCTCGCATCGCCTTCAGGAACGTGAATTTGGTGAAGTGATCTACCACTATGAATATGAAGGCGTGCCCCTTCCTTGATCGCGGATACTTGCCCAAGAAGTCTATGTATAACTTCTGGAACGGCCTCTCCGTGACGACTTCTGCACCAATTCCCACCTGCATCCCGTAATTGGTGGCTTTCGTCTCTTTGCAGACCACGCATTTTCGGACCACTTCAGCAACGTCTTTGGCCATTCCCGGCCAATAAAACTGCCGCCGCAACCAGGACAACGTCTTCAACACTCCTCCATGCGTTGACGCTTCGGTATGGGCCTTCGATATAAGCATGCCGGTTAGCGAACGCGGAACCCACAGTTTCCACACACTGCCTTCGAGCTGATCTTGTAGCCGATTGAAGGATGTCTTTTTGTAGATCACCCCGTTTTCAATTTTTAAATCAGGTAATTTATCTTTTTGACTTTGAATTTCGCTAATCAGCTCCCGATACTCCTCTGATTCGAATTCTGCGGTTTCGATACCCAACAGGTCTCCTGGGAAGAAATCCAACTCCTCTAAAGTTTCGGCTTCGGTGCTTCTGGACAGCATATCCGCCACGATGTTGTCGGAGCCCTTCCGGTGCGTGATTTCAAAGTCGAAGCCCTGGAGCAGCAACGACCAACGAGCCAATCGCCCGGACAAATCCTTCATGGACATCAGCCATTTCAAACTGGCGTGATCGGTTATGACCGTGAATGGCATCATTTCGATGTATGGCCGGAATTTTTGTATCGCCAATACCGCCGCCAAGCACTCCTTCTCGGTCACCGAGTAGTTCACCTGGTGCTTGTTCATCTTGGCAGAAAAGAACGCAATGGGCCTCTCGTTTCCCTGCAAATCCACCTGGAATAATACGGCTCCGACGCCAATATGGGATGCGTCACATTGTACAAAAAATGGGCGTGAAAAATCCGCGTGTACCAGCACTGGCGCAGATGTGAGCGCCTTCTTCAACGCCTCAAATGCTGCAATAGCTTCGCCACCGAGTGAGAACCGACCTCCCGATCGCTTTTTCAAAGCCTCAGTGAGTGGAGCCGCTAAGGTGGCAAAATCTTTAATAAATCGCCTGTACCACCCGGCGGTTCCTAAGAAAGCTCGAACCTCCTTTACGGACCTTGGCACCTGTATGCGCTGTATCGCCTGTACCCGTTCTGGATCTGTTCGAAGCACGCCGCCGCCCACGATAAATCCCAGGTATTTCAACGTTTTAAAGCAAAACTTCGACTTTTGTAACCCTATCGTCAGATTTGCCTTCTTGAGGCATTCAGCTACTCTCTTCAGGTACTCCAAGTGCGTATCAAAATCACCCGCGAAGACTACCAAATCGTCCAGATATACTTTAACGTTGGACCTCAGTTCATTCGGTATGACCTTGTCCATCAGCCGGCACAACCTTTGAGCGGCGTTACACAACCCGAAAGGCATCATGCGGAATTGGTACAACGGTCGCCCTGGTACCGTAAACGCAGTGCACCTTCTACTGGACTCCTCCAACTCCACCTGCCAAAACGCAAATTTCAGGTCCACACTGGAAATATAATACGTCTGATCGATTCCAGATAGGATTCCCTCCACGCATGGTAGCGGATAGGCATCTTTGACTGTCAGTTTGTTCAACTTGCGGGCATCGAGGCAAAAGCGGTTCTTGCCCGGCCGTCGCACTATGGTGGTGCGGTTACTCCACGGACTATCGCTTACCTCGATGACGCCAAGCGCCAGCATGCTGTCCACCTCATCCCACACAATCTTCTGCATAGCGGGTGATAGAGGGTAGTGCCTGTCTTTCACTGGCTCTGCTCCGCTGACCAATTCAATTCGGTGAGTCTCCAAAGTAGTCCTGCCTAATCCCGCTTCTTCGAAGGTTAAAAATTCTTTTTTTACTTGTTCCAATTGCAGCTTTTGTTGTTCATTCAATTTCCACATATCTGGTTCCGGCCTTACTTCATCCTGGTCCGCATAATGCGCCAC